TCACACCTCTCGGAGCGAGCGATACCGCCATGGACTGTGTCAGACCAAGAAGTCCAGCTTTGGAAGTCGCATAAGCCTCGTTCGCGGGCTCGGACTGTCGAGCACGAGTGGAAGACATGTTAATGATACAGCCTCCCGCAGGTCTCGAGGAAGACTTGGACAGATACGGCAGGCAGTGCTGGGACATCAGCATAGGAGCTGTGAGGTTCACTGCCAATGACGTATTCCAAAGGTCCAACGACATGTTCGAGACATCTGCGCTGCCCACACCGGCTGTATGAGCAGCGTTATTAATCAGCACGTCAATCTTTGAGCCGAAGAAAGTTGCCGCGTCTTTGACCGTTGAGGCTATCTGATCCGGCATGGACAGGTCGCAGAGGGCTGTGCAGAAGTGTCTCGAGCTCTTCGAGTGACTGGTGAGCACTGTAGCGGTGTGGTCGAGCTCTTCGGCATTGTTGTCCAGGAGAAAGACTCGATGGCCGTGTGACAGAAGTAGTCTGCTGAGTCCGCGCCCAATTCCGCGACCTGCGCCAGTGATGAGGTAGTTGCGCGCGGTAGTAGCTGCCATGTGAGCTGTGATGGCACAAATGGGTACAGAACGGCCAGGCTGTGGTGTTGAGCTGCTACTCGTGGAATACTACCGAGCTTGTCGTATTCCATGGAGATGACGAGAGAATGAAGTCATGATAAACTACCTTTTAGCGTGCCTTCCTCACATTCCCCAACCTCGAGTCGACTTCACCTTGTGCTTAAGGCCCTGGGCTACGTGATCTCCCAATGCCACACGCCTCGTGGGCGCTTACTTCGGGCAATGGATCGGGTCAGACTAGGAGGCTCTTGACAAACGTGCTATACGGGAAACCACCCGCCCTACTGAGCCGCTCCGAGGGCAATCGACGATCTGGCACTTCGGCGGTATTATGGCCGAAGACACTGCTAAAATGGCGGTGTCGAGGCGGGACCAAGCTGCTGATTCGTATTGTTGTCTTCCTTTATCACGAAGGCACTGTACCAGCAGCGGCCGGCCCAGTAGTTGCAATGCTTATCGCGTTGCGGACGCGGCTTACCGTGGGCGCTGCCTGTGAGTGTACGTCGCATGTCATCCGAAGATGTTGCGAACGTCGTGAACCGTGGTGTAAGGAACACAGACAAGGTCTAGACCTTGCGCCATAGTAGACTACTGCAGCTGCGGATCCACAACAAAGATCGCAGCCGGAAACGAAAGCGTGGAAGTGCAGTTGGGTGACGCACGGCGCTTCGAGGCGCGAAACGTGACTAGATGTCAAAGCGTTTGAGGCAATGATTTGCGGGCGTAAATGGTCTGAACAATGGGTTTGTTAAGCTACAAGAGAATCACTTGGTCAACTTACGGCTTTGGATTGAAAGTGCAGGCTATTCGGGGGTTTATTATTAATCACCACACGATCGGCAGTTCCCGCTGTCTTCAGGGTCCACCCACAGCTGTTCCGGAAAGTGTCCATTGCCAATCCATTTCTCGAAGACTGCCAGCTTCAGCTACACGCTGCTGCGCCCTAAATCGTGTCCCTGAGGCCGATTACTATCTCGCCACCGCTGCTGACCCAATCACGAACTCGTGTCTAAGGCTTACACCCATTTTTGTGCCTGAGGTGCGACTTCCGCCACTTTAGAAACGACGACGTCATCCCAGGGTCTCGCTGGCTGAGTCGAGTCTCCTCGAGGCATGTTCAGCACGCGACATATTGATCCACATTGCACTGTCCGCGATGGCGCAAAATGACCTCTGACACGACCGTGTTCCACTCTACAGTACAGCTTCTATCGACTTACATACGATCGAGGTGAAGATGTCAGCAAGCGCGACGTCACCACGTTACACACAGCCCACGGCGATCTCGTCCCCTTCGAGTCGCATCCCTCCCTCGAGGCGTCAGGGCAGTTCCAGCACTGGTCATGTTATGCCTCCCTATTTCACACCTCGATTAGCCACACCACATCAATCAGGTCACACTTCGACAACGACGCCGAGTCCTAACTATTTCGGCTTCCAGACGAACGGAGAGCCAAACAACGATGACGGGCAGCAGACAAAGGCACATTGGAGTCCACCTACATCAACCGTGCAATCTACAGCTGCGGTGTCTCCCAGTGCAATACCACATGAGCACAATCCAGAATTCAGTGCTTTCAAGAAGCACTCCGAGGGCAAGGCTTTCAATCTTGGTGGCTTGAGCGCCTTCGCCATGAACGCGCCCCCTACGCGTAATTCAGGAGGCAAGTCAAGTAAGACCGTGCTTGCACAAGATAGTGCAAAGAGCGTTCCTGCTCCCAGGACAATGCCTCCTCCACCGAGAGTTGGCAGGGAGCTGCTGGAGCCAAACGTGTCCGAGATGTCGCAATCGCCTAAGAGGATGCTGTCCCCGGATTCGAGAATGTTCCCGGATATAGCGAGAAGAGGTTCACCTGCGAGCATGGCTGATGGCGAGCATGGAGAGAAGCACAGACGCGAGCACTCGCCAGAGCGCCAGCCACGCAAAGCTCTGCCGCTAGATACAAACACAAGCGGCAGCTACGCAATGCCGATACACCGCGCAGAGACTCTACCGGAAAGCGGCAAAGGCGAGAGTCAAGTCATGGTCACCGCGCAGCGGGTTATTAATTTGCTGGAGTCTTCTGATGAAGAAGTGCTCATACTTGACTTACGTGTGTCTACACACTTTGCACAAGCGCACGTCGCAGGCGCACTTACATTATGTATCCCGACTACACTGTTGAAGAGGCCAGCCTTCAATGTAGAGAAGCTGGCAGCAACGTTCAAGGACGAGAGTCAGCGCGCGAAGTTCGAGAATTGGAGGAGCAGCAAATACATTGTCGTCTACGATAACAGCTCGGCGCAATTGAAGGATGCGATGACCTGCATGAACACTATCAAGAAATTCAGGACGGAAGGATATGCTGGGACACTGTATATTATCAAGGGTGGATTTCAGGAGTTCGCAAAACGCTTTCCGGGCTACGTCGAGGCTGGAGTTGATGCCACGAACGACGATTTGGGAGCTTCCAGTACGGATCCAGAGGGCAGGCTCATACCGCCTGTCATTGGCGGCTGCCCAATGCCACTTTCCGACAAGCCTGCAAATCCGTTCTTTGGCAACATCCGGCAGAACATGGACTTGATCGGCGGCGTTGGTCAAATGTCGCTCAAGCACCCGACGCGTGCGACAAGAGCCACCGAAGAAAACTTTCCAGCTTGGATGAAGCAGGTGTCGGACGATCAGGACCAAGGCAAGCGAGTTTCGGACCGCTTTGAGCAGATCGAACGTCGCGAAAAGAAGCGCATGGAGGACGCGCTCTCAGGCAAAGTCACGTTTGCCACATCGCCACACGCATCGAAGCATGCGAAACCGGTGAAGAACATTCAGATCGCTGGTATTGAGAAGGGCAACAAGAACCGCTACAACAATATTTGGCCGTTCGAGCACTCGCGCGTGCGTCTTCAAGGTGTGCCGAGTCACGGCTGCGATTATTTCAATGCTTCCTACATCAAAGCTGCGTGGAGTAATAAGCGCTACATCTCCACGCAAGCGCCAATACCAGCGACGTTCAACGACTTCTGGAATGTCGTGTGGCAGCAAGACATCCGAGTGATAGTGATGCTGACAGCAGAGCAAGAAGGCGCGCAAGTTAAGGCTCATAATTACTGGAATGGGAAGCAGTACGGTCAGATACATCTAGATTTTCTGTCAGAGAAACGCGCTTCCATCGAGCCGGCTAAGATCCATCGTGCAAAGATGCGACCCTCGGTAGCTAGGAGATCGTCTACGAACCCAGTGAATATCCCGCTTGCGCCTGTGGAAGCCAAGGACGACAGATCGAAGCCGGAGCAGCCGTACGTAATTGTGCGTAAGTTCACGCTCAGTCACGAGAACTTCCCCTTCGAGCGCATGCGGGAGGTCACACAGCTGCAGTACTCGTCGTGGCCCGACTTCGGTGCGCCAGCGCATCCTGCTCACCTTCTTGGTCTGGTAGAGCAGTGTGACTCGGTGGTCCGAACGGTGAACAAGACGCACTCGAACGAGCCGGAGCCGGCTAATAACCGGCCCACACTTGTGCACTGCTCGGCTGGTTGTGGCAGGACAGGCACATTCTGCACCGTGGACTCGGTGATCGACATGTTGAAACGGCAGCGTCTTTACGATGAACCGTCGAAGAACCCGTCGCAAACAGCAATGGACGTCGACTCGAAGTCCTCTAGTAAGCCTTTCTCTTCGCGCCACAATAGCGACGAGAATAACATCTCCGGTGGCTCCTGGATCGACAAGGATGACATCGATCTGGTAGAGAAGACTGTCGAGGACTTCCGCAATCAGCGCATCAGCATGGTGCAGAGTTTGCGGCAGTATGTTCTCTGCTATGAGAGTGTCATGGAGTGGCTTGTGTCGCAGGAGCAAGGCCCGGGCGACGTGGGAGAGTCGTGATATTCGGCGGAAGCAGAACACGGAGTAATGCTGCCAGTTAGTTGGAGGCGTACTAGGTGGAAGGGAAGGACTGCATAGCGTTCGTGCTTGGGTATCAAACATGGCGAGGGTATATGATAGCGTTTGGCATACATGGATTGAAGGCAGGTTGAGAAATTAAAGCTGAGTCTCACCTACTCCAACTCTGAAGTTATCTCTCAAGTGGTACATCGTTGGTCAGCTTGCCGCACGCACATCTTCACCAAACTTGAGATGTGAGTATTACTTTACTGGTAAGGGCAAATGCCCGCGGTGCTCAACATGTCCCGATAACGAACACATCGCCACTCTCACGGTCGTAACACTGTCAGATAACGATCATAGATACCACGACAGAAGCGAAGAAGTGTCTAGAGGTGCGGGGAAGCGGAATTACAGTGCGTAACGATCACTTCACTCCAGATGCCAAGCCCCGTTCCTTCCTCTTCTGGATCCGGTTCTTCGCGTCCAACACTAATACGATACGTTATATAATTGTTTTTTCGTCTCGTTGCTGCAATCACAGCCCGTTTGGCTCAGTGGTAAAGCGTCCCACTCGTATCGCCGCGATGGGAAGATCACAGGTTCAATTCCTGTAATGGGCACAGCGCAAGACCAATCTTTTGCCAGGACCAGGCATCTACCTTGCTTTTGGTACTCTACTCGACCACTCAGAGCCTCGGGAGACTCCAAACCACAGGATTGGACCTACGTCTACCGAGATTACAACGTTGGAGCGGTCAACCTTGGCAGAACGGCTTCCTACATCCCACCGCAGGTTTCAGACCCTACACAGCATGCATCATGCGACTCGGTAACATACAGCTGCCTCAACGGCTGCTTATTGCGCTATGCCTCTTTTACGTCTTCGCTGGCGTCGCAAACGCTTCATCGGGTGATCGCCTCCCCGAATTCAAAAACTGCGTGACGGTGAGTCTACCTCCAATGCTCCTACAAGGCTGGAGGTCTCCTATGCTACGATTCACCGCGCCTCGACTCTCATCTAGCTGCGAGAGTGCCGAAAGGATGTAACGCCAGTCGTTCCAGGAAAGACGCTACAGATGTCTCTTCTCGCCCAGGTTTTGACAATACGTTCACTGCTGTGGTGCGGATGATAGTTGCATGAAGGACCTTGACACCTTCGTAACAGCGAAGGTACTATGAACCGCATTACGACTCTCGACTGACTCAATCGTTAGGACTGCATCTCAGCAAACTGTGGCAAGGGTGGGCCCCAAATACGTACGTCCCCTTCCGAAGCTCCTACCTCAAACCTAGTCGGCTGATCTCCAACGCAGCCCTTCACCACGGCGCACTTCTCTGGACCTGCCCTTCTGAATGTGACTACACCTGCCAACACATTGTCACCTCTCAACGCCTCTCCCGAGACCCTCCATACCTGACACCGATCCACCAATTCCATGGCAAATGGCCCTTCCACCGCTTCCTCGGTCTGCAAGAACCCTTCTCAGTCCTCTTCTCGCTTCTCAACTTCCTCGCCCACTACTGGGGCATCTCTCGCCTCAAGGCTGAGATTCCTGCAAGCTATGCCTTACGGAAGTACTACATCGGCTTCGGCTACTGTGGATTCGCGAGCTGGACGTTCAGCATGATCTTTCACGCACGCGACTTCGTCGTGACTGAGCGGCTGGACTACTTCGCTGCGGCTTTGAGTGTGATGTACGGCCTGTTCTACGCGCCTATTCGAGTATTCCGCCTCGACCGTCCCTCGGCTTCTGCGACCGATTCCTCGACATCGAGATCCTCGACGCTGATTCGAGTTTGGGCTGTGCTCTGCGCCAGCCTCTACTGCGCCCACGTATTCTATCTGACGTTCATTCGGTTCGACTACACCTACAACATGGCTGCTAATGTTGCCGTGGGTATCATCACCAATGTGCTATGGACTGGCTTCAGTGTGGTGAGGGTTAGGAAGGTGGGGAGGTTATGGGCTGCATGGCCGGGTCTGATCGTGGCCTGGATTGTGCTGGCTATGGGTTTGGAGCTATTCGACTTTGCGCCTTGGGGAGGGATGGTGGATGCGCATTCGTTATGGCATTTGGGGACTGTGGGGCCGACTGTGTGGTGGTATAAGTGAGTATTGCTTATCTCATTGGTTGGATGGACAGTGCGCTGACTTTGGTAACAGCTTCCTGATCAAAGATGCACGTGAAGACCTGCAGGACAAGCGATTGAAAGCATGAGAGCGCTATGACCTGAGTCGGACTGTATGTATTACGCATTGGAGCATGAGATGTGCCTCGCTGCTCCAGCCCTGCATTTGGTTTTCCCTGGATTTGCAGGATACGAATCGGGTCTTCAAAGGACCATTGTACATATACCAGCGGCCATATTAATCAAGCAATCTCATCCACAGCTGTCCTCCCTTTCTGCTGTATCTCTTCTCCCAATGTGTCTTTCACGTGATAGTCTATAGCACCTGTTTCGCGATCGAGCTCCCGGAGCAAGCACTTCCCCAGTGGCTGCTTTCCTTGACAGCACATCTGAAACGCGCCCACTTCCGTCCCAACATTCCAAACGCACATCACTCTGCGGACCTCGATGGCACCAGACATCAACACCCTGCCGCAGTCGCCCCGTGCTGAGAGACCGCGCTCTTCGCACAATCCCTCCTCCACCCCCCTTCCGCCCCTTCTCTCTACCTCCAGGCGGACATCGCAGACAATGGGTCCACCAGGAGCACCGGCTTCGGCTGGCGAACGGCCACACCGGAGCCCAGTAATCACCTCACACGAGCAGGGTATAAACATGCCAATGCGACATCCAAGGCCACTCACGGCGGCCGAGCTGTATGCGGAGTGCGAGAAAGAGCAAGAGGCTGTGGTGCGCATACACGTGCTGATGTAGGGAGATGTGACCGAAAGCTGACAGGAAGCATAGGTCAATCGTCTCGCAAGAGAGCTCACTGCTCTACGCGCGCAGACAGCGTCAGTCGCGTCCAACAACTCAATGTCCAGTAGCTCGACATCTGCTTCCCTTCTGCCCGTCGATATTACCGACCCCAACGCGATACATCAGATGACAGGCGCGACTCATCCTACGCCCTCTCGCCGTCACCGTAGCTCCTCCTCGCTATCAACAAGGAGCATACCCACTCCTTCCACATCCGTCTCGGTGGCGGGCAGCACCTACAGCACGCAGCCACAAGCCGGCAGCACCACCTCTGGTCATCCACCTGCACATGCCAGCCAAAGTCAAGCATCTTTCGCCCGAACAGCAGCTTCAGGCGCGTCGCTTTCTCGCCAGCCTTCAGTATCAGCTCGTAGCGGCGCATCTACGCCTGCTAGGCAAAGCGTCGACAACTTACGCTACCCCAGCTCGGCCGGTGGGATCCCAGGAGGTGGCACGCTCTTCACTTTGCCACATCGTCCTTCTCTGTCTCGCGACCCGAGTGCTACATCCATGGGCTCAACCGCCGCACACGCCGGCACGCCGCTGCCAGTCAATCCGCACTCGATTCCTTCGCCCTCGCAAAGCCCAAGCACTCAACTCAGTACGCAGAGCTACACCGACACCGCACCCTACAGATCCGAGATGGAGATCGTGAAAGCCGAGAACGAGTCTCTTCGCCAACGTGTCCGTACTTTGGAGCGTGCTCTACGGACTCGCCGACGCGGGTCGAGTCAATCTGACGCGCCCGCTGCCATTGATCCGACTGTCACCGCTCGTATCGCTCGTGAACCAAATGCTGCTAGTCCTGTCACTCCCGCTGCTGCTGGCATTGCTGCGTGGGCGGCCGGAGATGGTGGTGTCGGAGGCGTAGCTGGACCGAGGGAGAGAAGTGAGAGTCAGAGTACGACTGCTAGTAGTCGGAGAGGCACTATGGCTGTGCAAGAGGACGAGGTCAAGGTTGGCGAGAGTGCAGGGAGCGTTGGCATTGGGAGAGGTGTATGAGACGCTGACGACTTATCGAATTGGCATGATTGTGACGACAACATGAATCTGCAACCATTGGCGCTTGGAGGACCTGGACTTCTTGCATGACAGGGGTCACGCCGCCACGAGATCAATGGGTCTCGAGGTCGGACACATCGAAGGCGCAGTATTCGCCACGATCGGAGCTTGGTGATCGACACTAAGCAGATAGAGTACGACATCGACGAATGAACCGACATGACTTCTTGTCTCATCTACGGATTTCCAGATTACCGCTTGCTTCGTCCCGATGCTCCCAAGTCGTCAACAGAAGACACATTTGGCGCTGAGGGACGGTGGCACGATGACACCCAATCAGTGCGTTCTCGAGTGGCTACTCGCCTGCGCTTATCTGGTACTCCGATTGCTTGCATAGCTAAGATCGGTCCAGCTGCGGCGGGAAAGCGCATTGTTGACACGTCCGTGAAGGGCTAGCATTCGATCACACCAGCTGGGAGCCATTGCAATGTCACTCTGATTGCGTTCGAAACCAAACATGAGCACTTTCACCTGCTAGATATTGATAGTAAATCGCTAACAATGCTAACAACAAACCCGTTCTTCTAGGTCCTACAAAGCAGAATGTCTCACCGCATCTTCATACCTACCTTGCCTTCTTCAATATCGCCCAATTCCATCTGTGTCTTGTCTTGCTCCGCAGTGTAGACCATGTCACCTCCATGGTGGATGTGAACCCCAGTGGTCTCCTTACCAAAGCCTCCGCACTTCTCGCAGATGCGATACTGCAAGAACTTCATGGTCCGACTCATCAACAAATTGAGGAATTCGGACCAACCAGCAGGCTTCGGCACCAGGACCATACCTGATGGGAAGACTGAAGCGCGGAGGTCATCCTCGACGACCTTCAACAGATGAGCGCGGAGTTCTCTTATCGAAGCGCGCACCACACCGCTCTGAACTTTATCTATCCATGCCTCAATAGTCCCAACAGCATTTCCTGTCTCGTTGGTTTTGAACGGCTCTTGCGATGCCGGTGCGACGGCAGTAGGCACTTCCAGATTTGCCGCGGCTCTGTGGAAGATCTTCAGTAGCGTCTTTGTCGACATATGTACCATGAATCATAATCAAGCGCATCGAGTGCGGTCCAAAAAGGCTGCTTTGCAAGCCATCGTCGACTCTTCCCAGCTTTCAGCGCAACTCGGGCTTCTTCCCTCTCGGGTCCTCTGAGCACGAATTGGTGACAATTCCCACATTCGAGTTCTGCGGTCTCGAGCTCACTGTCGCCCCGAAGGCAGCGCTTGGGAATGAGACTGATATGGCCGCATTCCAGCATCGCCGTGTTGTTCTCCTCGTCTTCGAACGTCACATCCTCGCACTTCATGACCAGAATCTGGCTCGCTAGCCTTGGGACCTGCGGTTCTACGCCTCGCATCCACTCATCAGCGACGGGGCCAGCAGCGTTTCGGACGATATGCCTTGCAAGCTTACTCTTTCTACGAACAAGGTTCTCGAGTACACGACCCCACTCGGTACCGGAAGTCATCATGTGGTTGAAGCTCCGAGGATCCATGGTGTAGGTAGTAGTTTGCTCGGCGTCGTGAACCTCAGAGCCATACACGACAGTCTCACTCTGGACGTGAAAGGCCACCTCACCATCAGCCTGCTGGACGGAGATGATATTCAGCTTTGTCCGACCAGCGAACGCTGC